GGCCTGGGAACGCCTTGGGATTCCCCTGGAGGATTTGGCCCAAGTGGCTGGGGAGAGGGAAGTTTGGGCCTCCCTACTTAGGCTGCTACCCCCGTGACCCGACCCCGGATAAGTGGAAGAGAATGGATGGATGGATGGTCGGGTCAGGTTCGGAAAAAATGGCTGTGTGCTGGGGCCAGGTCGGGTTGGAAATTTTAGGCCCGAATGCAACTCTACTTCACAGTAGAAACATAATGTAAAGTTTAAATAGATCACAGAAAGTTGGATGTTTGCTCCACAATGTTGTTAGTATTTTTTACAGGTTTTTACACAGAATGTTCCAACTGACATCTGATAATGTCACGATCCAACTTTAAAACTTTTGCAACATAAAACATTCAATAAGAAACGTAATTTGTCTTATGTCTTTGCAGAACAATAAAACTTGAAGACGAGCAGGACAATTCGCAGCTGCATGTCAAGAGGCCTCCAAATACCTTTATGCTTTTCATGAAGGAGCAAAGGCCAAACGTGAAGGCTGAATTCCACCCAAAGCATAGTGTGGCTGCAAATATCATCCTAGGACAGAAGGTGATAGTGTTTGTTTCTGTTTGTGCATCAGTTGGTCTGTAGTGCTGCAGTTGTGTGTCAGTGTGTATACTGAAGGTGTTGTGTGTCCATCTTGTGACCACAGTGGAAGTCGTCAGAAGAAGAGCGGGCCAAATATATTGAAGAGGCCCAAGTGAAACAACAACTCCACAACGAGCAACACCCTGACAGTTACAAAAACAACTATGTAAGTACTCTCTGCTCAGACATGATCACATGACAGAACTGATGCTGATGAAGCAACTGGCTCCTCTTAATATGGAGGAGCAGTGCTTCTACACCGAGTCTCTCCTGGATAACTGAACTTCTCATCTTATCTCTAAGGGAGAGTCCAACTACCATGTGGAGGAAACTCATTTCAACAGCTTTTTTTCATTCAACCTTTATTTTTTAAATTTGTTCAGCCTTTATTTAGACAGGTTAATCCCATTGAGCCTCGGGGACTCATTTACAAGAGAGGCCTGATTTTAACAAAGAGTGATGACAATAGTGGATAACAACAATAGACAATCATAAAAGAGGCAAACATATTTTTTTAAACAAATTAAAATAAAATGGCAACCAAAAGGACAGTCAAAAGGGAAAAAGTAGCAAAAAAAACAAAAAACCTGCTAGATTATAAGGCAGTGTAGAAAACTAAAAACAGGAACATGTCTGCATTGGTTCTTGCGAGGAACTTAACAAATGTTTAAAGCCACTTAGAGAGGTCTGTAAGAGTCCTGCCCTGCACCCTGCCTTCCTCTCTCCACTCCTCTCACTCCTAATTGGCAACAGCTGCAGATGATCAACTCAACAACCAGGAGGAGTATAAGAAGCTTCAGGAACCACTCTACAGGGGCTGGAACATTGCCTACCAACGGTAGTTGTGTTCTGGCCAGTTTATCTCTGATATTATCCATCCATCCATCCATTTTCTTCCGCTTATCCGGGGTCGGGTCGCGGGGGTAGCAGCCTAAGTAGGGAGGCCCAGACTTCCCTCTCCCCAGCCACTTGGGCCAGCTCTTCCGGGGGAATCCCGAGGCGTTCCCAGGCCAGCCGAGAAACATAGTCCCTCCAGCATGTCCTGGGTCTTCCTCTGGGCCTCCTTCCGGTGGGACGTGTCCGGAACACCTCACCAGGGAGGCGTCCAGAAGGCATCCTAAACAGATGCCCAAGCCACCTCAACTGGCTCCTCTCGATGTGTAGAAGCAGCGGCTCTACGCTGAAACCCTCCCGGATGATCGAGCTTCTCACCCTATCTCTAAGGGAGAGCCCAGATACCCTGCGGAGAAAACTCATTTCGGCCGCTTGTATCCGAGATCTCATTCTTTCGGTCACAACCCAAAGCTCGTGACCATAGATGAGGGTGGGAACGTAGATCGATCGGTAAATTGAGAGCGTCGCCTTTTGACTCAGCTCTCTCTTCACCACGACAGACCTGCACAGCGCCTGCTTCACTGCAGACGCTGCACCTGTCCGCCTATCGATCTCACGCTCCATTTTTCCCTCATTCGTGAACAAGACCCCAAGATACTTGAACTCCTCCACTTGGGGTAAAACCTCCTCCCTGACCCAGAGAGGGCACTCTACCCTTTTCCGGCTCAAGACCATGGCCTCAGATATGGAGGAACTGATCTTCATCCCGGCCGCGTCGCATTCGGCTGCGAACCGCTCCAGCGAAAGCTGTAGATCACGATCTGATGAAGCCAATAAGACCACATCATCTGCAAAAATCAGAGATGCAATCCTAAGGCCACCAAAACGGATCCCCTCAACACCTTGGCTGCACCTAGAAATTCAGTTCATAAAAGTTATGAACAGAATCGGTGACAAAGGGCAACCTTGGTGGAGTCCAACTCTCACTGGGAACAAGCCCGACTTACTGCCGGCGATGCGGACCAGGTTCTGACACCGGTCATACAGGGACCTAACAGCCCGTATCAAAGGGCCCAGTACCCCATACTCCCAGAGTATCCCCCACGGGGTTCCCCGAGGGAAGCGGTCGAACGCCTTCTCCAAGTCTACAAAGCACATGTAGGGCAAACTCCCACACACCCTCCAGGACCCTGCTGCGAGTGTAGAGCTGGTCCAGTGTTCCAAAGCCAGGACGAAAACCGCACTGCTACTCTTGAATTCGAGGTTCGACTATCCGACGGACCCTCCTCTCCTGAACCCCAGAGTAGACCTTACTAGGGACGCATAGGAGCATGATTCCCCTGTAGTTGGAACACACTCTACGTTCCCCCTTTTTGAATAGGGGGACCACCACCCCGGTCTGCTAATCCAGGGGAACTTCCCTCGTGTCCACGCAATATTGCAGAGTCACGTAAGCCAACACAACCCTACAACATCCAGAGCCTTAAGGAACTCGGGGCGAATCTCATCTATCCCTGGGGCCCTGCCACCGAGGAGCTTTTTAACCACCTCGGTGACCTCAGCACCAGTGATTGGAGGGCCCGACCCAGAGTCCCCAGGCTCTGCTTCCTCAGTGGAAGACGTACCGGTGGGATTGAGGAGGTCTTCAAAGTATTCCGCCCACCGACCCACAACATCCCGAGTTGAGGTCAGCAGCACACCACTCCCACTATAAACAGTGTTGGTGGTGTACCGCTTTCCCCCCCTGAGATGCCGGATGGTAGACCAGAATCGCCTCAAAGCCGTGTGGAAGTCATTCTCCATGGCCTCTCCGAACTCCTCCCATGCCCGAGATTTTGCCTCAGCAACCACCCGAGCCGCATGTCGCTTGGACTGCCGGTACCCATCAGCTGCTTCCGGGGTCCCACAGGCCAAAAAGGCCCGATAGGACTCCTTCTTCAGCCTGACAGCATCCCTCACCGACGGTGTCCACCATCGGGTTCGAGGGTTGCCGCTGCGACAGGCACCGACAACCTTGCGGCCGCAGCTCCGGTAAGCCACCTCGACAATAGAGGCATGAAACATGGTCCACTCAGACTCAATGTCCCCCACCTCCCTCGGAACATGTTCAAAGTTCTCCCTGAGGTGGGAGTTAAAACTCCATCTCACAGGAGACTCTGCCAGACGTTCCTAGGAAACCCTCACAATACGTTTGGGTCTGCCAGGTCTGACTGACATCCTCCCCCACCATCGGAGCCAACTCACCACCAGGTAGTGATCAGTGGACAGCTCTGCCCCTCTCTTCACGCGAGTGTCCAAGACATGTGGCCGCAGATCAGATGAGACGATGACAAAGTCTATCATCGAACTGTGGCCTAGGGTGTCCTGGTGCCAAGAGCACATATGGACATCCTTATGCCTGAACAAGGTGTTCGTTATTGACAATCGATGACGAGCACAGAAGTCCAACAACAGAACACCACTCTGGTTCAGATCAGGGGGGCCGTTCCTCCCAACCACACCCCTCCAGGTCTCACTGTCATTGCCCACATGAGCATTGAAGTCCCCCAGCAGAACAAGGGAGTCCCCAGGAGGTGCACTATCCAGTACCCCCTCCAAGGACTCCAGAAAGGGTGGATAATCCGAACTGCCGTTTGGTGCATAAGCACAAACGACAGTCAGAACCCATCCCCCCACACGTAGGCAGAGGGAGGCCCCCCTCTCATTCACTGGGGTGAACGCCAACACACAGGCACCAAGTTTGGGGGCAATAAGTATGCCCACTCCTGCTTGGCACCTCTCACCAGGGGCAACTCCAGAGTGGAAGAGTGTCCAGCCCCTCTCAAGGAAACTGGTTCCAGAGCCCGAGCCATGCGTAGAGGTGAGTCCGACTATTTCTAGCCGGAACCTCTCAGCCTCACACACCAGCTCAGGCTCCTTCCCCACCAGTGAGGTGACATTCCACGTTCCAATAGCCAGCTTCTGTAGCCGAGGATCAGACCGCCAGGGTCCCCGCCCTCGGTCACCACCCATCCCACATTGCACCCTACCCCTTTGGCCCCTCCCACAGGTGGTGAGCCCATGGGAAGGGGGACCCACGTCTCCTCTTCGGGCTGTGCCCGGCCGAGCTCCATGGGTAAAAGCCCGGCCACCAGGCGCTCGCCCGCGTGCCCCACCTCCAGGCCTGGCTCCAGAGTGGGGCCCTGGTGACCCACGTCCGGGCAAGGGAACGTTAGGTCCGTTTATTTTTCTCATCATCGGGGTTTTTGGGCTGCACTTTGTCTGGTCCCTCACCTAGGACCTGTCTGCCATGGGTGACCCTACTAGGGGCGTAAAGCCCCTGACAGCATAGCTCCTAGGATCATTGGGACACTCAAACCCCTCCACCACGGTAAGGTGGCAGCCCAGGGAGGGGATATACATTTGTACGCATCCTTATGACTGTTTATTGTTGTCTTTGTTATCCACTGTTGTCATCTCTCTTTGTTAAAAACCAGGTCTCCCTTGTAAATGAGTCCCCGTGACTCAATGGGATTAACCTGTATAAATACAGGTAAAAAAAAAAAAAAAAAAGTTAAATAAATAAAAGGACTACTGCCCCTTTAAGAGAGTTCAGAGTTCACGCTGCACGTGTTCAAATCAACATGGCGGCCTCGTGCTTAGTAGTATCGGAAACGAAACTTGGTGTTTGAAGGTAAGAATTGACATGTGGATAAAATTATAAGTTTTAAATGAATGTGTCTGCTGCCTGCACTCAGTCTGAACAATAATCTGTCAAGTTTAGAGTAACGAGATTTCAAAAAATTCTGTACAAAAACAAACATTCACCTCAGTGAATGTTTCCACCTCAGCCTTATCCAGACCTTTGGATGGTGACAGATGTAACTTGTGAAACGCTTTGTATCACTTTATCATTCAGGATGTTGCCACAGAAAACTCACAATTCAAAACACAAAATCACTCAAAATGAGTCAATTTTAGACACATTCTCAACAAGATCTTTGTTTTAAATTTATGCCATTAAGAAATTGCGGTCAGCTCTGTTAGCAAAATATCCCATTGGACAGATTTTTTTTGTAAACCCTCAGAAAGTACTGCAAGATGTACACCTACAACTGATTAACCTTTGGAGAAACCCCTGTTTAAGATGGCTGCCACAGCCAACTTACAAGATGGCTATGATTGTTATGATTCAGTCAGTTTTACACGATATGTCAAACTTTAGTTGTAGTTGAGCTTCATAGAAAACATTTACTCCAAGGGCTACTCATTCAGTGAGATCTTTGCTTTTAACTTCAGCAGTAACTTTTGGAGTCAGATCTGTTTGTAAGCAAAATATCTCATGAACCACTGGAAAGTGGAAAGGAACTTTCACCAAATAATCATGGGATTAATCTAATTCACCATGGCCCCTAAAGCTAATTGACTGTAGCCTGCACGATAGTCACAATTCAGTCAGTTGTCCAAGTATTAAGCTTACATTAAAATATCTGAGCCTCACATGGTAATAACAAGCCTTACAATATTACATATTGCAAGAGGTCCTTCATACTTGAATGACAGCTTCTGTCAATGGTTGAAAATTTCTGTCCACTTCAGCACCTTTTTCCTGTGGGGTCCCTCAGGGTTCCATTCTCAGACTGCACATTTTCACTAACCTGCACCCTTTATATTCTGAGAAAATGTGGCATGTTCTTCCAGTTTTTTGCAGATGATGGCCATATTTATCTGCAACTAAAGCCAAATAATTCTTGCTCCTTCTACCAGAATGTCTTGACAAGCTAAATGCATGACTGGCTGCACTTTTTTAGCTTTAATAAAAAAAAATATATATAAATATTATTGTGTTAAGCCTTAGCACTCCCTCAGACACACCTGTCTACATTGTAAAACTCTGGAGTCATGTCTTAAACAGTCACAGATCTGGATAATTTTGGACTTGGTAAGTTTAATAAACAGATTAATGCTGTTCTGCAGAAACGTTTCTCTCAGTTAAGACCGGTATCTAAATTGAAACCTGTTTTGATTAGACCTGACTTGGGGAGAACCTGATGTGACTACTTCACTGTACTTGATGTTGGGGTCAGTCAGGCCTCCATTTCACACCTACTTGTTCTAAATGCTGCTGCCCTTCTCGTGCAGATTTGAGCACATTTCACCAGTCCTTCGTTAGCTTCCTTCATATGACAGAATTGATTAAAAGAATTCTCATGTTGACTCAAATGCATAAATGGTCCTTCTCCTCATATCTTCTGCTTTCTATTTTTATGCTTGTATGTGGGCTCTGAGATCATCTGATCAGCTGCTTTTAGTTGTCCTAACTAACAAAAAGTATTTTTTGCTGTTTTCAAGATGTCTTAACAAATATTATTCAAGAGAATGATGAGCCTTTTCTGTTCTTCTGACAAGTGTTTGGTATTTTCACAGCCAGCAGAATGATGGCAGAAGGTAGCAATCCAGCATCTGATGCAACACCATCAAAGGAGGAGGAGCCTGATGATGTCCCACAAAACTTTAAAAACGACACTCCTGAAGCTGATGCTCAAGCTGCACGCGACAGTGAGGCAGCTCCTGACCCCTGCAAGTACCGCTACATAAAGGACGACCTCTTCACTTCTGAAATCTTCAAGGTGGAGATCAGGAATCTGCCCAAGTTCACCGGTTTCAATGACCTAAAGAAGTTCCTGGCCAAACATGGGCTCAATCCACATAAAATCAAGCTTTTTGGCAGGCAGACGTTTGCTTTTGTCACCTTTAAGAATGAGGAGGAGCGCGACAAAGCCATGAAGATGGTTCACGGCATGCAGTGGAAGGGTCAGGTGCTCAGCGTCAAGCTGGCCAAACCGAAAGCAGACCCCATCTTGAAGAAGAGGAAGCAGGAGGAGGGCGAGGGTGTGTCAGGGCAGCCCGTTTCTAAAAGAACTGAAGGCGGTGAGGAGGAGGACGAGGAGCCACTCAGTGTTCAGATCGCCAATGTGGTGACTCCTCTGTGGAATGTGCCTTACGAGGAGCAGCTGAGGAGGAAGGAGCAGGAGGTGGTGGGGATTCTGCAGAGGTTGGCCAAGTAGGTCTCAGTCAGATGTTTTACAGCAGCAAAGTGATGTTTTCACCTGTTTATTGAACAAAGTCTAGTTTCCTGCTACATCTGGTTTAAGAGCTCCTGACAACCAAACGTTTGTGTTTTCAGTCTGGCTGATCGTTTTGCTTTGTTTCAGTGAGATTGGCAGCACCAACAAAGCCATGTTACCATGGTTATTTGCACAGAAAGGAAAATTCAACAAAATGTGTTGTCCTCTTGAAGCCATTCGACCATCTCCCACACAGGTAACCATTAACTCATTAAGCAAGTAGTTTCAGTTTGAAAACACACAAATGACTAAAATAACATGATCCTGATATCACACTCCCATTAACTGCTGGCTTAGTTACCAGCAGTTAATGGGCGAGAGTCTGGGAACATCCTGGAAAGGTTGCCACATCACAGCTCAGTTAGCATATTAAATGTGAACTTTCATTGCTGGATAAGGAGAAAAAGACTGAACCAGTATGATTTGTTTTCCTAACCAGCTTTAAAGCGCAGTGGTTGAGAGAGATGCTTTGCCGCTACAGAATTTGAGCATCTTGCAGTCACTGAGTCTTCAGACATTGTCAGACAGCTGAGGATGGGCTCATGTTGGGTCATGCAGCCGGACAATGATCCCAAACACAAAAGCGAATCGGCAACTAAATGACACAGGACTTGAAACAAGGCACGGTGCTAACAAATGAGTTAAAAATAGTCCTGCAGCATGCAAGCCTCTTTCTGTTTCCCTCTCAGCCTCGTTGAGAAGCAGTAGAGACTAGGCCTGTTGCAATAAACAATCAATTAATCCATGATAAATGGAAATTATCAACCTCATTTTCATTTATCGGCTTTATCATTTCTTCATGTCTCTCTTTTTATTGAAGTCACTGGATGACAAAAAGCTCAACTCCAGTGCTCTTCACTGACCCCTCCCTTTCTCTTTTCTCTTTAAAATCTGTTTTAACGATCCAAAATTGCGTTTTTGGATTTTTTTGTTTTTGGTCCACCATTTTGAGAACCAAAGAGAGACAGCCCATGTCATGTCAAGGGGCCTCCCTCCCATTTTTCTTAAAGAGACACGCTGATCGCTCCCTCACTATCCATCCTTCTGTTCAAACAGTCTTGTACTGCCATCCGCTGGTAAAAAAAAGGCACTACATACAAAAATCAAAATTTCTTCTTAAATTTGACAATAATTAATTATTGTCAAATTTCAAACCATATTATCGTTTTTCGCAATAATTTCTGAGACAATTAATCGCCCAGCAAAATTTGTTATCGTGACGGGTCTAGTAGAGACTTCATTCTAGTTCTTAATACTTTGTTGTCTATGATGTCATAGATGAAAAGGGATTGGCTATTATTAGTTAACAAAACATTATTTCAAAATGATTAAAAAACAACCACAAACCTGAATTAACTGAGGCAATGTGGAAAAGTATCTAAAACCCTCAGACTAACTCGGGTAAGGGTACGGCGGAAAAATATTTCTGACTGTGGACGATGTAGCGAGGCTCAACGTAATCCAGAAATCTTCGGAATCCGACATCCTCAACGAGAAAATAAACTTCCACACCGCCGACATTTTGAATTTTCCTCTCCGCCGTGATCAGATCAGGTAGGCGCGCATGACATCATCACATTGTGCTGGCGCTGCAGGCATCCTTGTCACTGGGTTGTCAACCAAAAACAGTGTCTTTTATATCAGTGAGTTATTTTAATGGAATGGCTAATGTCCGATATTTAACTTTAACTCTAAAATCGGCCGATGCCATGCCGATAATATCGTGCATCCCTACTTGGAATATGTGTTGAGGATGACTCGGCTACATTAACTTCATCTCATCTGTAATGTTGAATATGTTAAAGGCATTTTTGTATTGGGCAAAGGTTAATTAGCCATGGCAGCCATCTTGGACTGGGCTCTAAAAGTCGATCAGACGAAGATGTACATTCAGTGATTACGTCTGGACAGTTTCATTAAACTCCATCCACTGGTTCAGGAGATCAGAGTAAATACAAGCAGAAACATTATTCCAGAATAAACTGGTTCAAATTTAAAATCTGTTATTTAACACCTTTCACTTTACTAACGAGTTATTCTGATCGTGTTTGTGGCAGACAGAGTACAGAAACAAGTGCGAGTTCCTCATCTCAGTTGGGGCAGATGGCGAGGATAAGACCATTGGTTTTCGTTTGGGGAAGTATAAAGGAGGCTCCTGTGCTGTGGTGGGACCAGCAGAGACCTGCCATGTTTCAGCAGAGGCCAAAAGGGTGGTCAGCGAATTTCAGAACTTTATTAGGTATTACGACATGGTTGTGGTGGAGCAGCTGTTATGGATGCTGTCATTTATAAAGATTGAAAATCTACAAATTCTTTCTTCTTTTGTTTTCGTGACGATTTTGTGAGCAGGACAACTCCATACTCTGTGTACAGTCCTGAGACATACGAAGGTCACTGGAAGCAGCTGACTGTGCGCACCACAAGGACCAAACAAGCTATGGTGATTGTTTTCTTCAACCCGCAGGTGACGAGACTTCTTCACTTTAACCTCATGTAATGAACTGTTAGATTTCTCCCTTTTACTCTCCTTCGTTTTTTTCTCTTAGAAACTTGAGGAAGACGAGCTCAATGCTCTGAAGAGCTCTATGAAGAAGTACTTCACTGAAGGAAAGGGCAGTGAGAGCGCTGCGACCTCTTTATACTTTGTTCGAGACGGTCAGAGGTGAATAAAGCCACACGCTAACGCTCAGCCTTTCATGAGGGATAGTGGATCTACATAACTGAAGCTACATTTGTGTGTTCGACTGAAGAAAATCTCCCAACCCGGAGGACCTGCCCTGTGAGCTCATAGCTGGGGAGAGCTGCATTCATGAGGAGCTGCTCGGTCTGAAGTTCAGGATTTCTCCTCACTCCTTCTTCCAGGTATGGATTTATTTCAAAAGATTAAATTACAATCAAAGTTAACACCAGGACACTTGATATACAGTGATGATTGAAAGTTTGTGAAGCCTTTAGAGTTTTCTATACTTCTGCATGAATAGAGACGCAACATCATCAGATTTTCACACAAGTCTTAAAAGTAGATAAAGAGAATTCAGTTAAACAAACGAGACTAAAATATTATACTTGGTCATTAATTTATTGATGAAAATGATCCAACATTACATATCTGTGAGTGATAAAAGTATGTGAACCTCTAGGATTAGCAGTTAATTTGAGGGTGAAAATAGAGTCAGGTGTTTTCAATCAATGAATGATGATCAGGTGTGAGTGGGCACCCTGTTTGATTTAAAGAACAGGATCTATCAAAGTCTGATCTTCACAACATGTTTGTGGAAGTGGATCATGGAGGAACAAAGGAGATTTCTGAGGAGCTCAGAAAAGGAGTTGTTGATGCTCATCACGTTGGAAAAGGTTACAAACAACCTGTAAAAGAGTTTGGACTCCACCAATCCACAGTCAGACAGTGTGTGCACAAATGGAGGAAATTCAAGACCATTGTTTCCCTCCCCAGGAGTGGTGGGCCAACAGAGATCACTCCAAGAACAAGGTGTGTAATACAAGCAGTCAGCGAGGTCACAAAGGAGCCCTGAAACAGTGACGTGCAGTCAGGGGAGGCAGGTGAGGCTTTGTCTCACCTGTCATCATAACTAGGGATGCACCGATCCACATTTTTTAACTTCCGATCCTGATACCTAAATCTAAATATCGTCCGATACCGATCCAGTTCCGATATCATGATCATCATTGATTTTATGAGGCTGTAATAATCTCCTCTCAAGTACAATTTGCACAAATATATGCATGCATGTCCAAAAAGGTAACTTGAGGTAAGTTTTATTAATGTTGGATAAGTTTTAAAGTTAGAATTAAATTCTGCTAACACAAAACATATATATATTTTTTTATTCCTAGCTTTTAAAGTGGATATTAGTGATTAATTTAAGTGATTGTTTAAAGTTATTTTATATTTTTTTAAATAAGGGGCAGATATAAGATTTTTTTTCTTATTTCTGCACTCTTTTCTTTCAATGTTTTCTTTTTGATGAATTTGTTTTGTTTCTTTTAAATGAATGAATAAAATAAAATGTGAAATGGCTTCAAACATCTGCTAAATTCATGGCATAAACCAACAGACATGTTCCTGTTTTTAGTATTTTACATCACTTTATAATGTAGCTGTTTTTGTTTCGTTTATATATATATATAGATATAGATAGATATAGATATAGATAGATAGATAGATAGATATTTTTTTTTGTGTAATTTTCAAATCATATGTTTTTTTATGATTGTGTACTGTTGTATTGATAAATATCTCCTGGAGGGTAAACTATATCTTGACTGCAAGTATCAAGCTGTGAAATCCTTCATTTTCTACAACTGATAGTGGTTGGTCATTAATTATGATGAAGTTTAGCAACTTCTCAATAAACATTCAAGCTCCGGGGCTTCAGCGATGTCTTCTTCTTGTTCAATCCGAAGCAGTCAGTCTGATTTCGGTCAGCCGCACTCTGTCTGTCCCTCCTCAGAGACAGGCAGACTGAGCGGGGCCGATTGGACGCGGCTGGCCGGGGTCGAGTCGCCTCTTTCGGATTGAGCAAAGAGTACTGCCCCGCTGAAGCCACGGAGCTCGAATGTCCAATATAAAACTAACTTCATCGCGGTTTAACGTGGTGCTATGGTTCTGCAGACAATGCACAATGCTGTCTTGTTCTGTGGTGCTTCTAGTGTAAAATACTTCCACACAGCGGACATGTTTAGATGAAAAGAGAAAATACATTTAATCACTTGACTGTTCTGTATAACTGTTTTATAAAACTGTTTTCTGAATTATTTCAACACTTCAATGGTCAAAATCACAGAATTTACAGATTTCCTGTTCAAACAATGTGGGATAAAGCTAATAGTTTTTTTTAAGAGAGGAGTATGGAGTTGATTAAAGCATAATTAGATGCCTTTAAAAAAATGCTAAATTGAAATATAAGCTTCTATTTTGGGTTCATACAGGTCCTTCTCAAAAAATTAGCATATTGTGATAAAGGTCATTATTTTCCATAATGTAATGATAAAAATGAAACTTTCATATATTTCAGATTCATTGCACACCAACTGAAATATTTCAGGTCTTTAATTGTTTTAATACTGATAATTATGGCATACAGCTCATGAAAACCCAAAATGCCTGTCCCAAAAAATTAGCATATTTCATCCCACCAATGAAAGACAAGTGTTTTTAATACAAAAAACGCCAACCTTCAAATAATCATGTTCAGTTATGCACTCAATGCTTGGTCGGGAATCCTTTTGCATGAATGACTGCTTCAATGCGGCGTGGCATGGAGGCAATCAGCCTGTGGCACTGCTGAGGTGTTATGGAGGCCCAGGATGCTTCGATAGCGGCTTTAAGCTCATCCAGAGTGTTGGGTCTTGCATCTCTCAACTTTCTCTTCACAATATCCCACAGGTTCTCTATGGGGTTCAGGTCAGGAGAGTTGGCAGGCCAATTGAGCACAGTAATACCATGGTCAGTAAACCACTTACCAGTGGTTTTGGCACTGTGAGCAGGTGCCAGGTCGTGCTGAAAAATGAAATCTTCATCTCTATAAAGCTTTTCAGCAGATGGAAGCATGAAGTGCTCCAAAATCTCCTGATAGCTAGCTGCATTGACCCTGCCCTTGATAAAACACAGTGGACCAACACCAGCAGCTGACATGGCACCCCAGACCATCACTGACTGTGGGTGCTTCACACTGGACTTCTGGCATTTTGGCATTTCCTTCTCCCCAGTCTTCCTCCAGACTCTGGCACCTTGATTTCCGAATGACATGCAAAATTTGCTTTCATCCGAAAAAAGTACTTTGAACCACTGAGCAACAGTCCAGTGCTGCTTCTCTGTAGCCCAGGTCAGGCGCTTCTGCTGCTGTTTCTGGTTCAAGAGTGGCTTGACCTGGGGAATGTGGCACCTGTAGCCCATTTCCTGCGCACGCCTGTGCACGGTGGCTCTGGATGTTTCTACTCCAGACTCAGTCCACTGCTTCCGCAGGTCCCCCAAGGTCTGGAATCGGCCCTTCTCCACAATCCTCCTCAGGGTCCGGTCACCTCTTCTCGTTGTGCAGCGTTTTCTGCCACACTTTTCCCTTCCCACAGACTTCCCACTGAGGTGCCTTGATACAGCACTCTGGGAACAGCCTATTCGTTCAGCAATTTCTTTCTGTGTCTTACCCTCTTGCTTGAGGGTGTCAATGATGGCCTTCTGGACAGCAGTCAGGTCGGCAGTCTTACCCATGATTGCGGTTTTGAGTAATGAACAAGGCTGGGAGTTTTTAAAAGCCTCACAAATCTTTTGCAGGTGTTTAGAGTTACGTCGTTGATTCAGATGGTTAGGTTAATAGCTTGTTTAGAGAACCTTTTTTATGATATGCTAATTTTTTGGGACAGGCATTTTGGGTTTTCATGAGCTGTATGCCATAATCATCAGTATTAAAACAATTAAAGAACTGAAATATTTCAGTTGGTGTGCAATGAATCTGAAATATATGAAAGTTTCATTTTTATCATTACATTATGGAAAATAATGACCTTTATCACAATATGCAAATTTTTTGAGAAGGACCTGTATATGTGAACATCCGATTTCCAAATGAGTCAGTGCCTCACCTATCAGAATCAGAATAAACTTTATTGGAATTGCACCGAGGTACAATGCGAATATGTACGTACAATCGAAATTTAATTTCACTGATCCATGCTATGAGTCTCCTTCAAGGTCGAACCCACCACACTGACGAGTCCCAGAAGCCGCAGGTGGTCTGCGATTCTCAATCGCCTCCACCTTACGGTTAAGCTCGTAAACCAAAGGATTTAAAGTTCCCACAGCCAGGACCAAAACCTTCACACTGACTCGGAAGCTTTTCCATGGCCAAAACTGCTCCCGATGTCTTCTTCAAAAGTCGATAAAACAGAGTCCTGCTGATGCCAAAAAGCAGAGTTCCTGCTATCATAAGTCCAAATATGTAGTCTCAGCTGGACATGCCGGTTCTCCAGGACCTTGTCGCTTTGATGAAAAAAATCTTCTGTCACAAAGCTCACTGCACGTCACTGACCCCAGGGTAACTTCTAAGCGACTGTAGGTCTCTCTCGCATTGATTAATGTTAATGTTCATGAGTCCACCATCAGGAGAACACTGAACAACAATGGTGTCATGGCGAGGTTGAAGGAGAAACCACTGCTCTCCAAAAAGAACATTGCTGCTCATCTGCAGTTTGTTAAAGATCAAGTGGACACGCAGAAGGCTGCTGGAAAAGAGTTCTGTGGATGAGACCAAAATTAAGTACTCTTCTAAAGGGGCAGACTGTGGAAGTTCTTGACACCTCCAAATATCTGTGTACAGTTACTGACAGTAAACTGACCTAACTGTGTGTAAGAACAGGAACCAGCGCCTGTTTATCCTCAGGAAACTTTCTTCCTTCCACGTCGATAAAACCTTGTTGACTTTAACAACAAAAAAGGTTGATTCATGTCATCTGGACTTCGTTTTTTTGTTAAAAAGAAACGTTTCGCCCCTCGTCCAAGAGGCTTAGTCAGTCTGAGGCCTAGCCATCTGGTATTACCCAGAAGCCACCCTGACTCTTGTGTTTTTAACAAAAAAACGAAGTCCAGATGACATGAATCAACCTTTTTTGTTGTTATATACCTGGATGACTGAGAAAACAAACTTTGTGTTCTTGTTGACTTTAGTTTTTCAAGCTTTTCTTGAATCGGTTGTCTCACTGCTTGGTGTCCTGGTTTGGTGTTTCAACTCTTAAAAACAAGAACTGCCTGAACCAAATAGTCAAATGGTCCCAGTAAGATGACGGGTGAGATGCAGCTAATCCCAGATTATTGTACTCCAGGCAGGTGCAGATGTTATCCATCCATCTGAACAGATGTGGCTCATCCTCTGCACTGCCAGTTCAGGCTCCTCCCAGGCTCATATTTGATTCCCAGTTGTAAAACTAAGTACTGGTATAAAACCAGCTTTGTTCCTGTTGCCATAAGCTTCCAAAATTCAACTTAGCATAGCACCTTTAAAAAAAAAAAATAAAATCATTTTTGAATCATGTTATATTTATTTTTATACTTATGGTGTGTCTATGTCAAGTTTCCTGTCTGGCAAGAAAGCTGACTCACCTCACTGTAACCAAATCTACCTAAGGGTATAAGATTGAGTGATTGAAAATAGAACTTTTTGGTTTAAATGGGAAGCATTCTGTGTGAAGAAAGGAAAACACTGCATTCCTGCATAAGAACCTTATCCCAGCTGTGAAACATGGTGGTGGTAGTATCATGGTTACTGATCCAGATACTGAAAGCAAAGGTTCACATACTTTTACTATCACAATTATGTAATATTGGATCATTTTCCTCAATAAATAAATGTCCAACTATAATATTTTTGTCTCATTTGTGTAACTGGGTTCTTTTTATCTACTTTTATGACTTGTGTGAAATTCTGATGTTTCAGGTCAAATTTATGTAGAAATATAGAAAATTCTGAAGTGTTCACTTACAAGCAGCACTGTACCATACTGTAAATTAATTTCTGTATTTTAAATATTGACTTTGAAGACGAGTTATGCAGCCATCATACACAATGTGGTGACTACAGTTATTTATATAGATTGGTTAACAGGTGGCCAGGTAGTTAACAGGTGGCCAGGTAGTTAACAGGTGGCCAGGTAGTTAACAGGTGGCCAGGTAGTTAACAGGTGGCCAGGTGGTTAACAGGTGGCCAGGTGCTCAGTGTGTGTTACCTCGCAGGTGAATACAGGAGCTGCAGAGGTGCTGTACTCGGCTGTGGGGGAGTGGGCCCAGCTCGATCAGGACAGCACAGTGCTGGACGTGTGCTGTGGGACTGGAACCATTGGCATCTCCCTCGCTAAAGTAATCTTTATGTTGCAAATGTTTCTGTGACTGATAAAATTTTAATAATTCACGTTGCACTGAATTTGAATGATCTGTTAGGACGTTCTATTTCTTTGTTTAGAGAGTAAAAAAGGTGATTGGGATCGAGTTGTGCCAGGAAGCAGTGGAAGACGCCAGAGTTAATGCAAAGCTCAACGGTAGGGCACTAGACATCATCACACATAGGCCTGTCACGATCAACAACAAATCAATTAATCTCATGATAAATGAAACTTATTGACCTCATTTTCATTTATCGTCTTTATCGTTTCTTCATGTCTCTCTTTCTACTGAAGACACTGGATGACAAAAGGCTCAACTCTGGTGCTCTTCACTGACCCCTCCCTTTCTCTTTTCTCTTTAAAATCCATTTTAACTGCCCAAAATCACATTTTTGGATCGTTGGCAGCTAAGCTGAGAAGCTAAGCTACGAACTAAGCTAACAGGCCGACCTCTGGGAAAAAACCTCCGTCTTGTCGAAGCTCCAAAATTGATTGAAACCCGTGCCTTCGTCCAAAAAGTTTTTCTCTGCAAAAAGAAGCTGAGAACTTGTGTTACTGATTTTTTATTTTTTATTTTTAAAAGCTTTGTGTGAAAAATTCTATGCTAAAGAGCTCAAACCACACCGAGCATCTGCCATTTTGAGAACCAAAGAGAGACGGCCCATGTCACGTCAAGAGACCTCCCTCCCATTTTTCTTAAAGAGACGCTGCTCGCTCCCTCACTATCCATCCTTTGGTTCAAACAGTCTTATACTGCCATCTAGTGGTCGAAAAAAGGTACTATACGCAAAACTAAATTTTTTTCCTTAAATTTGACAATAATTACTTATTGTCAAATTTCAAACAGTATTATTGTTTATCGCAATAATTTCTGAGACAATTAATCGCCCAGCAAAATTTGTTATCGTGACAGGCCTAATCACACATCCATCCTGCCTAAAGTGAATCAAAACCATTAGGCCTCTAGTATGATGGTCTGGGTTTGATGGTTTCCCTCTTTGTGTCTGAAGGTCTCAGTAATGTTGAGTTTCACTGTGGAAAAGCAGAGGATGTGTTTCCTAACATCCTCAATGCTGTCGTTTCACCCAACGTCACCGCCATCGTAGATCCACCCAGAGCAGGCCTACGTAAGTGCACAGAGACCAAAATGTGCACCGTGTTAAAGATGTGTTGCGTTAAGAGGTTTTATTTAATGAACAGATTCCAAAGTGATCCTCGCCATCAGGAGAGCAGAACATCTGAAGAGGCTCGTTTACGTTGCGTGCAACGCCAAGGCAGCCATGGCCAACTTCATTGAGTGAGTTCTAGTTTAGCCATTTTGTTCCTGCAGCTACTGGTTTTATTATTAAAAGCTATGCGAGCGAGCATTTTCTCATATTTTAATGTTAAAATTTGATTTTCAGCCTGTGCAGAGCTCCTTCCAACAGAGTTCACGGAGCTCCGTTCCGTCCGGTGCGAGCGCTGGCCGTGGATTTATTTCCTCAGACGATGCACGTTGAAATGCTCCTGCTGCTCGAGAGAGTGGACTACGACTCCCAGCAGCAGCAGACTCCCTGATCAGGAACAGACTCTAAACAGTTAATGGCTTTTCATCCTTTAAATTTATACTCACTTGTTACTGCTATAGAAAAACAAGTTTCTTGGAACCTTTTTGTTTACAGAAATTAAATAGTTGAAGTTAAAAGTAACTTCCAAGTGTTCTGGCTTAGATTAATCACTTTATTTGAAAGCATTTTGATTTAAGGACAACTTAAACCTGTTCAGTCAAGAAGAGTAAACTTGTACAAACTTATCAAGAATAAATAAGTTTCCATTTACAAGTGCTTGTTCTGGTTTGTGCTACAGATGTGATCAAACTTGTTTGTAGCCTTCGTTGAAGAATGAAAAGCCCACATTGGTCACTGAAACAAACTGAAACTGACAGAATGACAAATTTAGTGAGAATCAAAGTTTTTGAATTTTAGTTGAACAGAAAAACTAAAGAGACTGGCCTTGGCTAAATGAATGGTACATTTAATATTTTGTTGCACAACTTTTTAAGTCAATCTCTGCAATCAAGTAATTTCAATGTGCACCTGCCAACAGGTTCCACTCCTGAACTGCTTCATCTGAATCATGTTTCACCTCTGTCCACAGATGTTCAGCAGGGTTTAGATCAGGGCTCAAAGGCCACTTCAGAATGGTCCAACGTTCTGTTCTTAGCCATTCTTGGGTGATTTAGCAGTGTTTTAAGTTGGAGGATCCATGACCTGAAACAGCAGCACATTTTGCTCCAGAATGCCTGGATAGCCTTGAGATTTCATTGTAACCAGCACAGATCACTCTGTGCCAGATGCAGCAGAGCAGCTGTAGAACAAGAGCTTCCTCCAGGTTTCACTGTAGATCACTCTGTACGTTCCATTTCCTGGTTTGTGAACAAAAAGCTAAAAAGACCTATGCAGTTTGTTACATGTGTTCAGGCAGATTCCAGTTTTTGTGGGTGATTTGGTATCCAGTTGTCTTCCATTAAGTCCACTTCGACTCCCAACAGTGACCGATGGTGTGACTGGTGCACCTTGCCTTGAAAGAGTTTGAACTCTTTGGATACTATTCTCAAGTCTCTTCAGTTCATCAGTTTTCTCTTGTGGCCATGTTCAGGGAGGTTCTTTAGTCCTGTGGACCTTGACCTTCTGAATATTCTGCAGCTGTGGACACAGAGACATCAAGCTTCTTGGTCTTATAGACTTTACACTGTCAGTTTTCTTTGTAACCTCCCAAGATAACTGTCCTAAGTTTTATTTGGTCCATGTTTAATGTGGGACACATCATGAAGCCAAACAGCCCTGTGACTACTTCCACTCCTTAAACCAGGGGTGCCCAAAGTGGGGCCCACCCGCCAAGCTTTCCTCATTACTATATTAAAATTTCCTTTGAAGCGTCAGTGTGTTTACACTCAGTCATTCTGACTTTGTTAAATGGAAAGTCAGCCCAATGACTACCTTAATGGCACTATACAGCTGGAGTGGCTATTATGTGCATTAAATTATTTAATTTGACTAATTTATATTTTATTTTGGGGCAGCACGGTGGCACAACTGGTAGAGCTGCTGCCTCTCAGCGAACAGGTCCCTGGTTCAAACCCCGGTCCAGGGGCCTTTCTGGGTGGAGTTTGCATGTTCTCTCCGTGCATGCGTGGGTTTTCTCCGGGTACTCCTGTTTCCTCCCACAGTCCAAAAACATGCATGTTAGGCTGATTGATAACTCTAAATTGTCCCTAGGTGTGAGTGAGAGAGTGAATGGTTGTTTGTCTCTATGTGGTCCTGTGATGGACTTGCGACCCGTCCAGGGTGTACCCCGCCCCTCGCACAGTGATTGCTGGACATGGGCACCAGCGACCCCAGTGACCCAAAATGGAATAAAACGGGTAAAGAAAATGGATGGATATTTTATTTTGACAGACTTCCTACAGCTTCCTGACACTGGAAATCATTTTCCTTTGATCCTGCACTAAATACTTATAAATCACACAAATAGCCTAAATGATAAATATGAACTGGCTTCAGTAGTGATTTTAGCCTCTTTTTGGGACTGCTCAAGCACCTCTGAAAAAGAAAACATTGTTGGAAACATTCTCGAACCATAGATTCACCAAAATATTGAATATGGAATAAATGACAGCAGTCTCAAACAGGCCAGTAAAATGTGATTTATTTTTTGCACGTGTCCGTCCACCTGTCAGTCAATCCAGCATGTCAGCAACTGACCAGTCAGCAACCTCAATTTGTCCTGAAGTGAACGCCCCTTACGTCAGCGATTTCAATGAGTTTACATCTTTTGTTTCATGTTAATCTACTGTAATAAACCTTTGTAAAATACACCAAAATGCAGGAAATGGCATCTACTTTATTCAAAATTCTCTGGGGGAGGACCCCCAGATCCACCCCCACAACCAATACAGCCTGTTCTGTGATGTTCTTTATACAGAATTGAAGGTTAAATAACGATCATACATAAATGGACTTTATTTAAAGTAGTATTTGCATTTCATGTATTATTGCATTTGCAGCCCTCTGATAAGATTTTAAACTTGGTCCTCTCTGAGAAACTGTTCGGGCACCTCTGCTTTAAACAGACTGATTACAAGATTGAAGATGTGCTAAATACAGGACACAGTTCAACATGTCCCTGTGGTCAAAGTATTTTCAATCTGTTCTGGGCAAACTTTTGCTAACACCAGTTTCACTGAATCGAAAGTCGGGGGCTAAATTTTATAAACATTAAAAAAAATATTTCAGTACCCAGTTTATTTTTTTTATGAAAAGGTGCAAACAAATTTGACCACATCTGTATTCTTAAAATAAACCAAAGGGATTGTTATTAGTCAAGACATTTTTATTTTTGCATAACAAATATACCACTGAAGTCAAAAAGCTCAAGTTGCAACATCAGTTTCTAGGCAGCAACATTTTAAACAATTTATCATTACAATTCAACATAAAACCAGTATTTTATTTCTCTGCTTACACCAGCACAAGGTTGACAAAATGCACACAGCACATTCTCAATGCAGGTCACTGTCCACTGTTACAGGAGCCGTTCAGCTCGTTCCTGTAGGTGTTTTGTAGAAAACGCACAGCAGTTTTTGTTTTGCTCCAACATTGATGCCTTTTCTTCTGTTACATTTACTCAAGTTTGCAACAACATTAAAAGATCCTATAAAATGCATAAGACTATGTAAGCTTTGGTATACACACTTGTCAGCTTTTACAAGGTTGCCTTGATCATTTTTTGTGGGTAAACGTAATAAACTCGCAAAGATGGCAAATGTACAAAATCCACAATCCATTAAGACAACTCAGAAAACTGCACATGCTGTATACTACTTCCATGAGGACATTTAGCAAGCTTTTCATTTAAATATTACTTATCCAATAAATGCTATATATATATATACACAAAATAAATGGGGCTTGGTCTTCCCACTTCCTGCAGGTGTTTTAGGTCCAATGTATTTTGTGTCAGAGCCCTTCATGAAATGGACAACTAAGGCAACATGTGGCCATCTTGTTTTCAGGAGGCCATCCTAAATGAAAAGCTGTCGAGCATGGCGTGTGTAGACAATTAAAAGCATCAGAGAACTAAAATCAATAAAGAAATGTTTAAACCCGTTACAGTACTCTGGCCCTGAACTGGGTTTACTGCAGCGTCAGGGTGGAGAAAAACAACAAATACTATAAAAAGGCAGGCAGATCCTCCCCAGTACAAAATGTCCAAACAAATGTCTCAAAAGCATTTAGACCAACAGCACGACTACTTGACAAAAACAGACCAGACACGGGTGCATAACGGATCCAAACTTCACAACTCAAGTTCTTGTCATGCAAACCAAGACACTCGTTACCTCCAAAAATCCAGAATTACCATTAAAATAACCAGTCAAGAAACTTTGCTTCCCAATTAAATGACTACCGGTAGTATAAATATGAGTATTAGTAGTCCCTTTCAAATACTTCCAGCACTAAAAATAATGTACCTAAAGACTGAGTGTAGAAAACAACACTGACAGAACAATGAGTGCAGTGGTTTCCATAGTTTAAAAATACGTGCATTTCTTTTTTCAGATTTTTTAAAGTCCTGGTCATTTTTTTAGTTCATAGCAGGGATGAATCTTAAGAGGTAGGCAGTAATTAGTCTAGGGTCTGTAAGTGCATTTAGCCAACCTGCTCGACACCCGCCTGGAGGTGGAGGAGGCAGCTCTACCAGCCTGCTCAGTGTGGGACTGCATTGCATTGTGATCTCAGTGATGCATAATCTGGGCATGGATGGTGGGATGTTTCGACAGTGACTGGCTTTCAGTGCTGTGGTTCATCAGTGATTTGGAGACTCAAACATCAACAGTGCAGAGGGGCTCGCTGCCCGGCTGGGCCGACTCCATTATGGTCATCTTGGGTTTCTTCCTCGTTTCCTCCTGGCATGAAAATACAATCAAGGGACAGCAACGTGAGTGATACGTTTAGAAAGGCAGCTGAATTATTCTTATAAATACACAGACACATGTTAGAATTAGTAATTAGTTTAAGAGCTTTTTGTTATCCTGTAGATCGGCAGTTTGCTCAAACATGCCATAGTAATTTTTAGTGTTTATAGCATTTCATGAAAACTAAACTCCTTAAATTTTCTTGAGTAATTCTTGAAATTCCAGGAGATATTTCCATCACACAAAATGCTCAGAACTTACGGTCTCGTGGTGGGCAGTCACATTCAGAGGTGACCAAGTATACTGTAGCCCACAGTACGTGCATACAGCAATCATTCCTAACAATTATCTAGTATAAACATTATATAATAAAAAGCAAGCATAGACAATCAATGAGGATAGATGCACTATGTACAATGTGCTGTGTGTACACCGATACTAGAATACAAGCATTGATACATGTACACTGGGGCTTAATTTGAGCCGGATCCTGCCGGAACAGGACCTGGGAACCCCCTGATTTTGACACAGAGTGTTCCTGCAACTCTTTGCTCGGATCCGGTGACTCAAATCTACGCCCCTAAAAGTCCAAAGTCATTGTGCATTTTAATTAAAAAACAAAAATATAATTAAATAGCACCGTTAATTGCAAATTAATTCAACAGTTTAAGAGGGTTAATAAAATTTTGATTATTAAAAATATGAGAAACGTTTTGATGTGTATTATTCACATTAATCATGCATCAAAAAAATGGTGCCAATTTGTCAAAATAACACCGATTAAAATGTTGGGGGGGGAAAAAAAAAAAAACCCCAGTCCAATTTACTTTCATTAAAAAAAAGGATGAATGAATCGTCCTTAGTTGGACAACTGAAGCAGCTGAAGGCAGTGGCAATCGAGATTGAAGCAGGAGCGAGTGGTGGGGGGGTGAGCAGTCGAATGTGGACAGGAGCCCACAGGCAGCTGCCGTGAGCAGACTGAGGAGTTCCACATGTGAGTGGAGTCAGACAACAACGCACAGAACTGAACTCTGTGGAGAAGAGGCGGGCTCAGAACCGTGAGGTGGGTGGGGGTCCATGGCATGACGGAAGCGGAGCAGAGCAGCTCTGCTTCTTCAGACGTAACTACACAATGTACTGAACAAAGAGAAGGACAAAATGATTCTCACCCTTTGAGTTGCCAGCTTCTTCATTTCTTCTTGCAGCTTGTTCAAGATGTGGAGGTTTGGCTTGTTCTTTTTGGCAAACTGCTGGAGCTCGATCACACTCTTGTCAGAGCTCTCCTGAAGAAGAGATTATATTTTCATCCTGTGCACACTCAGAATAATGCTTTCAGCTTATAATACCCATTTAAATATGGTGCAAGACGACAGTGGATGTTACAACACACCATCAGAAACCAGAGCAACAGAAAGGAGATTAAAATGCTACATACACTACATGACATAGTTCACATAACCCCAGGAGGTGGGCCATGGGGTTCAAAATGTTTTCGTGGATGGGGAACATCATGAACTATAAACTGAGTAATTCTAATGAAAAAAAACCTAAATCATAACTAAACAATATGCCAATAACAAAAAGTCCCTTTGCTTCATGTCTATTTCAAGTTTGTTTTCCAGACAAAGACATCATGCCCATCTTTTAATTTTTTTAATGCAGAACGTGACATGAAGCTGCCGGAGCGCAGAGGTCAGCAGCAGAGTTCACTCACCTTCTTGACCATCTTGTTGCTCTCTCTGCCGTACATTCGTAGCAGTGAGCCCCAGTTCTTCACATGGGGGTGAAGCATCTGTAAGATCTTCTGAGACGCTAGTTGTTTGCCAACCCTCTTGTTCTTACCTAGTGACAAAAACAACAAATGTACAAAACGCGTTACTAAAACCACCTTTGTGTGTCCAATAGTTTTGACGTTAAAGAATTTAGGCATTTCTTGTCATCAATAGTAAATAAAAAGGTTGGGGTTTGGTTCTACTCACACCACCCTCGAACTGTATGTTTCCCACAAGTCATAACGTATTCACTCTTCTGGTTTTTTCCTGGAATCACCTCAAATTTGATGCTGGTGTCCCCCATCCCATGGTTTCTGCAACAGACAGCAAACATTTCCTTGCAGAGGAGTATGTGGAACAAACCCACCTGCCTTTTGGTTGCATGGTTATAAAACAGGACACCACCTAAATGTCTCTACATGCTTGCAAGAGCTGTCAATTTCCTCACACACACAGCAAGGCCTTGCTATTGTTTCACTGTAGTGAACACGTCTGAAAGATTTGCACAACAGATTTACCGGCCGGGCCGAGCTCGCTGTTACACCGTGTAAAGACGTTGAACCTATGACTCAGGACAACCAGCAGAGGGAGATTAAACTGGATTATTAGTGGCCGTAAAGAAGACAATCTAGTTTTCCAACCGCTAATTTCTCAAGGAGGAGAAGAAAGAGAAGAAGACACTTTGATAAAGTAATATGCCAAAATCTAACCAGGAAATGCACGACAGAATGGAAGGACAGACTATTAAGAAGATTTCAATCATCTGGGAAACGCAGACTGCAGCTGTATTAGACCTACACAGACCAGTACAACCAGAGGGACTCCTTACTCCAGAGTCTGAAAACATGAACGAACAGTTCAATGCATTTTTACTAGAGGCAGAAAATCTGATAATTGAGTTCAATGATTTTTTAAGATGGATGTTCCACAGGTTTTTTTTTTTTGCATGTCAGGTTTGTTCAACTAAAGAGTGAAAATGTTAAAAATGTTCAGTTTTTTTTATTTTTTGAACATTTCCACATCTCTTCAGGACTTCATGTACAGTTCAAGTTTCTGGTGTTAATGTGTTTCAAACGCAACGATCAATGCTAGTTTCTAAGATTTATGCAAACCTGAGCACAATTTCTCTGCATCGTCTGGTGACTACATGTCACTTAGTTGTTTTGTATTAATAAACAACGTATGGTTATTTCAGTTGCAAGGTTACGTATATATTTATTTATGCATTTATATAAAATAAAATGACTATTTACTGGGTCCCCCCAAAATATTCCCCAGCCTCCCACAGCTAAATTCTTCTGGAACTGGGTCTGACTGGGAGAACTGGGGACCTAAGAAAACAAACTGTGATTGACTGGAGTCAAAGAGAATAAAATCTATAATCAAACAGACATACTTAAGACCTTTTGACTAAATTATGATTTTTTTTTTTGCATGTGATTTACAGGAACATCCTGTTCATTTGCAGTTATGTATTGTAAGTACCAAATTCAGTGTGATCTGAAGTGAATGTTTTTAATTTCTCCTAAATTTGGTGTCCAGCTATTCTGCAACAGTCACAGCCCAGTGGTACACAAGCTTAAATAAAATAAAATAAAGTTTATTTCAGGGGCTACAGTCAAAACATCCAACAGTGATTCTCACTAAATCACGTCAATGAAGGGAAATTTGAAACAAGATGTTTGATTTATTGTGTTTCATGCCATCTTGACATACATGGACAAAAGATAAACCTTACAAAACAAATATCTTAAGAGTTGATACTAAAAACATAAATTTACCTTTTAAGGCACTCATGAAGAATCTGATATGGAGACAGAAGTCCTGCTTTGTTGGTCAGCTCGTACACTCTGGAGTCCTCTATACTGATATGATTAAAATACTGTGCCGGGGGGACAAGCAGGGAGACAAGTGAAATGATGCAAATAGTTTCTTGACAAACGAACATCTGGATGTGAACCTATTTTGCTATCCTTTATTTAAAAACTGGTGCAGACATTAAAAATAAAAACGTACCTCTAGCTCATCCCCTTCAACAGGTTTCTCCTCTGACGTCTGCTTCACAAAGTCAGGGATGAGGATTTCCAGTGTGGCTCGAGCTGCAGTCCAACAGATTACCAATAAGTGAAGAACTGGTAATAACCAGCAACCAGTCAAATGTACCAGGCCAAGTATTTAGCATGTACAGGATAAACAGCAGTCACTGCAGCAAACCTGTCGTCTGAACTGGATAAATAATTAACTATTTTCCCCCCCAGCTGATTTCCTAAAAGTGACATTATGTCTAAAAACAATTCACCCTTCAGTACAAATTAATAAAATGGGATTAAACACCCTCAGAGCTATTTTGAATAAAATCTTACCGGCTTTGTTCTTGGCAAGTTTTTTACTGCTCGCAGTTCCTGTGCCGTAAGTGACTCCATCTATAATGACGGACGCTCCGAAGGGTTCACTGGAGTTTTCTGTGGCCAAAAATTACAATCAGTGAAAATCAAACCTCAGTCTGAAGATTTATCATTTAGAAACAAAGAATTAAATAAAATACATTTGATCCTTCAACAATGAATAGGATTTTGTTTGGTTTGTTAACTTATGAGTAGGAAATCAGTTGTCAATGTTGGGATACAATTTTTTAATATTAATAAACAACTTGTGCTGGACATCTTTCTGAGGAAAGACTGCCCAAGACCTCTTCAGTTTTAAAGTCAAAAGTGCAGCTCACAGGAAATCACCAGTAGTGCAGTGTAAAAACACGGTTCAAGCTCTTTCATACACATGAATCTGCACATCCTGTTCTCAAATTTGCCGAACAATTGAAAAAGCAACATGTTTTTTTGCTTCCAGTATTCCTTCAGAGAAACTATCTCACATCAAAATATCTAACTTTTGTGTAAAGTGGATTTAATCTGAAAGAGCTTTACATGTTGGTCTTAGCAGCTGCAGCTCACGTACCAGCAAACAAACAAACAAACACACACAAAAAAAAAGAGTTGTGAAAAACATCTTTACTAACGAACGAGGAACTTACCACAATCAAAGAAGTTGTAAACAGGTCGGACCTTCAGGACACGTTGCATATATTCATGCAGGATGCAAACTTCAGACTTTCCATTGGGGTTGATCACAAATTCTGTTGAAATAAAATCATGACTGCATCAAAAACAATTCTCCTAAAGGAACAAGTTTCCCATCAGTACCTGTGATAAACAGACGACTGTGGGTTGGGGCCTGCTTGTCTTACCCTTCTTCGTTGGAGCATCTTGGACTGATAATGTGATGAGTTTTTGATTGGCGGGCAGAATAGGTCTCTCAGACTCTGCCTGCTTCCTTTTCATGTCTCTGTTGAATTGTCTTCGCTCAGCCCAAGTGCGAAACTTCTTGACAGTGACTTGTTCGAAGTCGAAACATTTTTCAAGATACAGACGAAAATCTTCAAGTTCTGAAAGGAAGTTAAACGTTAGATTCCGAGTTTCACGAGATGAAATGGGGGAAAACGTTTAGTCCGTTTTGGAAAAGCCCTTACCTATGGACTCGTCCTTGCACACCTCCACCTTGGCCTTGACTTGTCCTAAGGCTCCTTGAGCAGTGTCGCAGGGCTGCGACTCTTTATTGGGCAGGCTGTCAGCTGTGGGCTCTTCATCTTGGTCAGTGAGGCCAGAGAGAAGAACTTCCTGCTCCTCTGACTTGGCTCCTTTTTCTTCAGCCACCTCCTCCCCAGGTTTCACAGGAGACGCCTCTGCATTAGAGGTTACCTCCCCATTCAACTCCCTTTCCTCCCGATCCTTCATTTTTTTGTAGTGTAGGCAAGGGATGCTGCTAACAGGAGGATCATGTTTCTGTGTGAACACCAAAAATATGCTCAAACCTTTTCATGTTAGTTCTGTAAAATATATGAAAATAGGCAAAATGTTGCAACTTCCTCTATTAGTAATTACAGTAGTCTCTCGTTTATCACAGGGGATCCGTGCCCCGAAGCCCAGCGATAAGTAATCAGCGATAAGCGATAATTGTCGAGCTAAAACTGTTGCTAAGGCTTTCCAGCTTTTGAATTCTGCATTCGACATCATCCAGACTGATTTGTTTCGCCTCAAACGTGTCCTAAATGCCGACAAAACCAAAGCGATGCTTTTTTCAAATAGGAAGTTGGTCCCAGCAGTTCTTCCTCCGATTTTATCCTCAAATGGTGTCCCCATTGAGTTTGTTGATTCCTATAAATATTTGGGTATCTTGGTCGACTCACATCTCTCTTTTAAGCTCCACGTGGAAAACTTGATAAAGAAACTGAAAGTTAAACTGGGTTTCTTTTTCAGAAACAGATCCTGTCTAACTCTGAATGCTAGAAAACGCCTTGTATCTGTGACCTTCCTTCCCTCCATTGATTACGGTGACATTATTTACATGAACGCTCCTACAAGAACCCTGCAGATGTTGGATGCTGTCTATCATGGTGCACTAAGATTCATAACTGGCTGTGATTATCGTACCCACCACAGCTCCCTGTATTCACTGGTTAACTGGACATCATTAACTTCACGCAGACTCTCCCACTGGTACATTTTCATCTTTAAATCACTTCTTGGTCTGCTGCCTTCATACATCTCCTCCTACATGTCTCTGCGTGAGTGCAGCTACAGCGTGCGCTCTCAGGACATTATTACCTGCAGTGTTCCCTCAGTGAGGACTGAACTAGTCAAAGGGCCTTCTCCTATTCTGCTCCTGTTTCCTGGAATATCTTACAAAAAGATTTGAAGCTCTTGACCTTGACCTCTCTAAGTGGCTTTAAGAACCTGTTGGACTCTTGGCAGGGACCAACGCAGACATGTTCCTGTTTTTAGTTTTCTACATTCGCCTTAGAATCTAGCTGTTTTTTTGTTACTTTTTCCTTTTAGCCATCCTATTTGGAAAAAAAAACAAAAAACCTGTATTATGACTTTTTATAACTGTTTATTTTTGTCGCTGTTGTCCATTGTTGTCATCATTCTTTGTTGAAATCAGGTCTCTCTTGTAAATGAGTCCTCGAGGCTCAATGGGATTTACCTGTCTAAATAAAGGTTGATTGATTGATAAGTGAAAAATCGCGAAGTAGGAATAGAAATCCAAGCAGTATTTTAGCATTTTTTATATATTAAGGCGTTTTAAACACTTCCCACATACTTGCAATATTCTAAACAATGTTTCTAAACTCTCTAAAAGAGATGTCATGTCATGATTTCAACTCCCTGCCTCAGCCACCAGCAAGCGCTCTTGGCCACGCCCACTTCTCCACTCTGCATGGAGAGCAGAGGATGAAATTTTTTCGGGAGTACCGCGGGTCACGCGATTCCGGATGGATTCTGGATGGATTCCGGCGAGACCGGAGTCAACCTCATTATAACTCACGTGACTGGACTGAAAGCTAACGGGAGCAGACAGGAGCGGGAACCGACCAATAACCAAAAATGAAAACGAAAAACAAAAAAAATCAAAAACGGGCGCAGCTATTTTGTAGTTTTCTTTCAGTAAGCCTTCACTTTAACACAAGTCAAAATGACTACATTTCCCAGGAGTCAACTGTTCCAACAGTAGCTTTTCACCTAGAGGATGGGAGGAGCTGCGATACGGTACAGAGCCTGAAAATAGTTTGCAACACAAGGTAAGAAGTAACTATCTATCTATTAAACTCACAGAACAGGCAGGAAAGTGTCAAATAACTTGGTGCTGTGCTGCTTTAAACGTCTTAGCTGCAGTGAGGAGCTGCTGTTTACTGTCAGTAAATAAACTCAAACAGCACATTTTTCTCCACCTTGTCCCTTTTAATTTAAAAATTATTCTCTGCTTTGTTATGTGGGTTTTTAGGTTAAAATCTTTATTATCTGTTGCTGTTTGTAATGTCAAAAAAAAAAAAAAAACGAACTCTTCCTGGTTAAAGTGCATGCATTCTCCGGTAAAAATATCCTATTTTTATATTGTGACGTCCTGCTGGATACTGAAATCGAGGAAAACGTGAACAACCATCACTTTATTGTGTAAATAGTTACTGTCGGCTGTAACCGTGCCAGTACAAGAACAAACTCGTTAGTGAAAGCATTCTACGGTAAAAATATCCCAGTTTTTATATGAAATACTGGTTGCATATAAATTATAATAACTGTTTTAGTTTTAGATTTAAGATATGATGTGTACAATTATGTTGTTGTGTTAAATTTTAGGCCAAGAGTTGATTTTTCTCAGTTCATTTCTTCACACCAGGGGCGATTCTAGAAGCCTTTTTAGGGGCCTTAGCCCCCCAGTGTTAACAATGGCTCTTGGCTTGAACCACACAGGGGGTATTAGCATTAGAATTATTGTAGGGGGACATATTGATGCGAGGTCTGTGGGTCCTCCACCATAACTTTTTGATAAAGTAGCTGCTATTTCCTGCATTCTGGTGTATTTTAACAGGTTTTAAAACATTTATGTTTACCTACATAAGTAAATACTTGATCCAATAACTGTTTTATAAAGCATGGCACAAAAAGTAGCACTAAGCTTTTTGTTTGTCTTTAATTAAATTTTTCTACCTAACACAGGAAGCTGTTAGCTCTGGAAGCAAGCTGTTAAACAGCTTTGGATACAAAGACCCTTGTCACACACTTCAAAAGAGCAGGTAAGATACATAAAATCTTGTAATCTCTGCCTGGTGAGGCTGATTAAATAATTATAAAATATGATAAGTGAAATAAATAAAGAAAAAATAAGCTACTGTAATTTATAGTTGCAAATGTCACGTTTTCTTGACTTAATTTCAACTGTAAAGCTTGTGTTTTTGATAAATATTTTTTTCCAAAAGAAAGGCCAACAAATAGTCATTTGTAGTCATGGTAACACTATTTTGACTTGTGCACCGTCGTCTTTCACTTTTAGGTGACACAAGGCTCTGGACTGGTCACTGAAGCTGTGGAGAGATGAGGTGGAACACCAGACCTGCAATGGTCCAGTCTGTAAATGATGCTCTGAAGTCTGGTAAGATGCACGACATCCTGCTTCACCCAAACGAGCTCGTTACCTCAACCACATATACTTAACTTCTTGAGGACGTTGTCCAATGTATAATAATGTCTTTAAACATTTTTATTTGTTGAGTTCTCTGCTTAGTACATTATTTTTCTTTTTTTGTTTTTGTTTGTTTGTTTAAACAATTTAAAACATGAGAGTAATGTCACTGTTTAAAGGAAACAATTGCTCAATAAATTAGTAAAATGCAACTTGTTATGTTTGGGTTCTTTCATCTAAGGTAGACATGGTGTGACCCATGGACTGGTTTTGATTTTTTGTTTTTACTGTAACTGACCTTCAAAAGAGCTGGAAACAGAGATTCAGCAGCTGATCCTCTGTAGAAAAATTATATGGACTACAGGCCATGTATTATTGGTTTTATGACATTTAGTGAAGGTTTTTATTTGGATTAAGGAAATAAATGTCTCTATTTCACCACAGATTAACTGTTACTGTTGCCATATCTTTTGAAATAAAACTAAAGAACACAAAGTAATTTAAACAGGAATGGGTAGAAGATCAAATCAAATTCAATGTATTTCCTAAAAATTAAATGAAGATTAAAAAAAAACAGGAGCAGGAGTCATGTTACCAGGTGTGGGACAGGACAGGATTAATTTTTTTACTCTGGACCAGGATTGGGACAGGACAGGATTTTTTTCTGTGGGACCAGGACAGGAGTGAAAATCCACTCGTGTCATCCTCTATTGTGCGGCTCATCCATCAATCAGTCAATTGTGTGTCATGTCCAATCTTATTTTGAAAAACCGTGATAGAGCGAGTCTGCGAAAAACGAACCACGTAGTAGCGAGGTACTTCTGCATCTGTAAAGTCACCCATTTATTTATTCCATTAAGACTGGTCTTGCTGTCTTTACATACACCTACACTTAATGAAATTTTAACAAATCTCCTTAATGAGTTATACTCCATCCCTGAATAAAAATATGGATTTAAAAAAAAAAAAAAAAAAAAAAAAAAGAAGCTTGGAAATAAACAAACTAGGAACAGGAGAAGATTAGGCTTTCAGTGACAGATACTCAAACATGAACTGCGTTAGTTCACTTCAACTAGTTAATGTCTAACAAACTAAACATGTGACCAACTGCTCTGAAAGATGTTCATGGACTCATCCATGAACATCTTTTTCCACAAAGTGACCACACACAGTTTCAGTCACTTATTTTTTGTGTTGTTCAGACACAAAGCATTTAGTAACTTACCCTAATACTGCCAGTTCCAAGGAAGTAGGGTCTGGACCAGGTGACCACCCTGGTCTCTCTGTGCAGGTAGACTGGAACGCCTGAGTTATGGAATGTCATGATCCATCCGTCAGGTAAAGGCTCAGTGGGTGGACGGCCGCGACCTGCCACAAGACGAAACTTGAAGGCACGTAATAACAGTGGTACTCTGAGTTACGCTATAGCAGATAAGGACAAGTACATCCGGCATCACTGTGAAAGACTTTGGATGAAGTGTTAAAAAAAGAGAATGTTAAGACCAAACTAAATCAAACATGTTAGTGGATTCATCGAGCTGATAAATATTTAGACATTTTCAGCCGAGGAAAAAACAGACCACTGCTTTTCTTCCAACACTTTCCCCCATCTGCACTGATCTTTACACATCCAGCTGTGTATATGTACCATTTCAGAGGCTACTTGATCATCCACTTTGTGTCACATGACTAAAGGTCGACCAATACAAGATTTTCTGTGGCTAATGCCAACCTTTAGAAATCAGTAGCCAACGGCTGATATACAACAAATGTTTAGGTCAGTACGTAGACATTTGTTAAACGCATACTTAATATAGCTGCAAACTACTGGGTCATGTTTAGGATGATGGGAATAGCTGAGCTTTAATTATATATATATATATATATATATATATATATATATATATATATATTTAAAAACAACACTTAAAGGAATTTTTACATAAAACAATGAATAACATTCTCACTTAAAAACTAAAATATAAGCTAAAGTAAGCTGGTTATTTCTCCTGCATCTCTATTTTCCTACTGGGTAATTGGTTTGTTATGTTTGTCTGATCTGGAGACAGAGACAAAAAGACAGAACTGGAAGATGTTGAGGTTCTCCTTAGGAGTGACAAGGATGGATTAAGATTAGGAATGAGGTAATCAGAGGTACAGCACAGGTTGAGCAACTGGGAGATGAAGTTAGAGAGACCAGACTGAGATGGTTTGGACATGTCCAGAGGAGGGACAGTGGGTATACTGGTAGAAGGATGATAGAAATGCAGCTGCCAGGAAAAAGACAAAGAGGAGATACATGGATGCAGTTAGAGAGGACATGGAGGTAGATGGAGTGAGGACAGAGTGAGATGGAGGAGGATGGGCTGATTAATTTGTCTTTTTAAACTTGTAATCAGAGTCAGTGATTTGGTTGCAGACATTTCAAAAACATGGGTGAGGAAAAAAAAAAAAAAAGAAAAGAACATTAATTCCTGAAACATTACCCAAAATACAAAAACCACATTCAACTGTTGATTTGTTGAAGGCATCAAACCCTAAAGTGAATCAGATCAACCACTCACTCTTCAGCACAGTCTTAATTTTGGTCATCATGGGCTGAACGCCTCCTTCACCATCTGACTGATGATCACTGTCTCCAACATATCTGTCCTCTGTGAGACGCATCTTCTTTGGGACAGGCAAGCCCTCCTCCAGCAGAGCATCAACATCATTATCAAACCCCTCCTGGAAGAGTCAGTGGTTAAGAGCGTAGTGGGAAAGCACTTCAAATCACTTTTAGAAGGCCTTCGCTTCACTTGAAGGAAAAACATACAAAAAACCCTGAAGTGATGGGAAGCCTCTAAATAAAACAACTCAGAGGAGCAAACCAGTGAATAAATAAGACTTTGAATAAAACTTGGCATTTGAGATTATAAAGATAAACTTAAATGGTACTAACCTCTTCCAGCGTCACACTTCTCATTTCAGTAATTTAAAAAAGAAGGAAAACAAAAAAGAAAAAGCAAGAAAATTCACATTTATACTGCTCCGAACAATTAGTTTGGTCTGTACTCGATAGAAGCTGATGAGAAAATGTCTTTAGTAACTAAAGTTTAAAATATTTTCACTACACAAGCAGGTTCAGTCTTTTGGATCCTTCATTCCTCGTCCTTATTTAATGAAAAATATTTACTAAATACTACCAACAATTTCCAGTTTAAATCAGTTTTTCTACAAAAAGGGAAGTTCTTCACAGTTAATGTACGACTCAAGCAGTTATTACCCGCAGCTCCAATTTTCCCTTTCATGCTGCTTTACCACTAAAACAGGTGGTACCTCACTGGGCTGTGACTAGTTGACTAGAAGGTGCGCTACAGAATTTCTTGCACCTTTCACTGTACTGTAGTACTACTCATCTTCCTTGTACAAGTCAAAGAGGTGTGCAGCTGTCGCTTGAGTTTTGAACACGTTTCAAAAATGGGACTATTCCATAAGAGAAGCTGTCGCACAAAGTCCTCTACTCCAAATCGTCTCAAAAGCAACATACGGTAACGCTCGACACCTGCACAGAGAAAGTCATGCACATGCAAATAAGCTGTGATTTTCACAGACTGGTTGTGTTTTGCAGCTTGTTGGTCGCTCGCTTGCAGAGACTGCAACGTTCACACATTTCCCAGCAATTTGGAGTCACCAGCTACTTGTCTCCCAACAAGTGCAGCTCAGTGAGATACTACCTTAACTTTTACCTATTGAAAACTGCAGGAGCTTCAAAGGTTTGGAGGCTGTTTCGAGTACTCTGAAGAGATGTGGAAAACCTCTATATACAATTTCAACTGTGAGCTCCAACAATAACGTAGCCATCAAGATTAAAAAACGTGTAGAAATTTTAATAGCTATAATTTCATCAAAATCCTTAAGCACTACAGAATCAAGAGCAAAACGAGTTTGAATTGTTGTAGGAGGGCTCCGTTTGTTCCTAGAAAAAAGAGCAGTCAAGATTTATAGCCGATAGACACAGGATCCTGTAACATGGACTCAGACGTACCTCGTAGGAAAACGCAGCAGCCTCGTCGTCCACTTGTTCCTGCTGAACTATGGTGTCAGACTTAAAGCCGCCGTGCTCATCATCATCCTGATCCAAGAGGTTCTCGTAAAAGTCATCTAACTCATCCAAGACAGCAAACTCGACCTTGTTTTCTAGGTCTACCTCTGCCTCAGATTTTCTGACTGCTGGGTTTCCAGCTCCGTAGCTTCCTTCAGCTTCTTCTAGCATACTTGACGGATCATGCAAATTGTAATCGAGACTGCCTAAGGCTAAGCCATCCTGGCTTCCTGCCTCCTGCCCCTCACCTGTGTACAAAACCTTCCTGTCTTTGCTGTTGCTACTACTACTGCTGCTGCTGGTGCTGGCTTCGGTGAAGCTCACACTGATCTTTACATCTCTCAGTAGCTTGAGGTCTGGTAAAAACTTGGTGACCTGGGGAGCGTGGCGGGCTGTTCTGGGGCAGGGTGGGTTGGAGGTCGCCTCGTCTGAAAAGTGGCTACAGAAACTTAATAAGCTGCTGCTGATGGGCTGCTGTGACGTGGCTTCCCCCTCTCCTGGGGTGGATGTGTATCCATCACCACCAGAGCCAACGTCCATTACCTCTGCGTCACAGGACGTTTGCAGGGGAGGTGGTGGAGGTGCTCTGCCCTGGTCTAGACCAAAATCATCAGGTGGCTCCAAGGGGAGAGGGGGTAGAATATCATCTATATCCATTCTGTCTAAATCAAAGGCTAAAACCTGACAATAACGTTGAAATCTTCGAAACAATGTCTCCTACTTCGACTGGTGATCACACATGCAGAAACTCATCCCTGTATAGATCACGTACCAGAGGTGAATATGTTAAGCTGACTACATTGCTCTTTTCATTAATGTAGACAGCCTTCAGAATCACTGTCTCAATTATTGGAAATCACAATGCATTCAGCTTATTGTGGAGGAGAGGCACTGATCATTCTTCACCGCGACCATCTGGGAGCTAAGGGGGAAACATTATCAGAGAACAGATGTCAGGTAATGCCACTGCACCGTTTGTAATAACACTATAAACAGCTCGGTTCGTTTGTTTTAAAACACGGTTAAACTTTAATCGGGTCAGAAAAGTAAACTCAACGTGCCATAAAACGGAGAATGAGCATTTAATTAATCTGCAACAGCAAACTGGGCCTTTCCTATGTCGCTAGCGTTAAGCTAAATCATGTGCTAGCAAGCCGGGATGTGTAGAAAAAAGGTTGACAAATCATAAACCAATAGTTATAAATCAATACACATACTCACTAATAAACAAGACACACGCGTCTCCTCCGAGCAACCAAACCGCCTTCCTAAATTATTTTATTGTCGAGGTGATACCATGTAGCCTCAGCGGCAGCACCGCCATCTTGAGGAAAAGCACAGCTGCTAGTCACAATAAGCCACGCCTTCTAGCACCGGCTTTTTGATGATTGACGGAGCAGCAGACCAATCACAACGTTTTGTATGGTCCGAAACGAGCCAATCAGAGCAGGAGCAGCACAGGAGATGGGAAGCACTTTTTTTTGAATTTCTTGAAATCAAAAGCGGGTTTGGCAACATTTTGTGACCAAAAAGGCCATCTTCATCAAAGTTTGCATCAGGAAAATATTGGACTGTTGGAATATGGCGTAAGAAAACTATCAAAATAAACGTGTATGTAAAGACAGAAATGTGCGCATATTAGTCATACCTCTAGTAAAACCAAGGTGCATACATAGAATTTGCAAACAATTAAATGAAGTTAAATCACATACACAAAATGTGGGCTGTATATTTCCTTTGTAAAAATACAATTAAAAATGTTACAACTTCACAAACTTACAAACACAAAGTTCATCTTTGCACAATGCACATGCGTTTTAAAAGCTTTATCTGTTTCAAATCATAGTGCCAATGACAGACCAAGAAATGAGATACCGTCATGTAATGTTAAACAGTTAAAGGTTGGTTTGTCTTATTTACATACGTTAATTACAAATTATAGGATAAAGAAACTCATTTTTAATTTATCTCTTCTCAGGCATGTAACATTTAATGACAGAGGATTGTCCACCTCTTATTTACTTATAAAATGTGATATGTGTCTACATTCTACTTAAGCAAATTTAATTAAAAAAAACCAAAAAAAAACTGCATTCTTGTTAGTCATGTTTTGACAATTATCTACCATTTGGGGTGTAACTTCTCTGCACAGCTGTTAGAGAAACATTACAGTGTAGTTTATGGAGCAATGTGTAACAATTAATAATGAAAATTTTAATTATCTAAATAATTTTTCTTTATGCTTGAATAACTACTCATGTTATGAGTAATACAAATACACGAAAAATAAATATTTTATTGCTTAAATTGAATTATTTTAACCATCACAGAAAAATCTAAATGCTGTAAAATAATTTTTATGGATTGCAAAACTGAATGGAATTTATAAAGTAGGATCTAGAGCGAAGGACATCATTTGGATAGAAGGTGGAGATGATCTTCTGAAAGCCTTCGTCTTCCACCACGGACAGCGGCCGCATGTCTGTGATGATCATATTTAAAATGTTGTTTGTGAACTCAGCTGCTGCACAGCCAACATCCTGGAGCCGTTTGTACGAAGCTGTCCGACTCTGCCATTCACTGAAAAGAAGAATAAAATTATTATTTGTTGTTCATTGTTATGCCTGAATAAATATATTTCAAGTGTACTTCATTGGATATTATAACATTATTTAATATTGTTAAGGGGTAATCTACACTTTCTGATGACCCTGCTGCAATCAAAGTAACATTAATATGTCAGTTGTATTTGATTTATGCTTTTATTTATGTGTGAGGTTTGAGGATGTTTTAATTAAAACCCTCCGTCACTGATTTTTTTTTAACCATCACAGAATTTTTTTTTCCATGATTGTCTCACTTTCCATCCTCCTCTGGGTCTGCAGCACCTCATGTTCAAATATCGTCTCATTGTTTTGACTCAAACACAATAAAACTGACTAAACACCAAACACACTAAATTACACTGTAAAACCCAAACACGCTAAATATCATAAATCTCTCAAACCTCATGACTCTCCCACTCTCACTGTGACTTAATCGCACTGAACTCCATTCAACTTCTGCATCTTTTTCTTTGTCTTCCTGTAGATTTTTTGGTGCTTGACAAATAACTTGGAGCCTCCATCATAAAGGAGCGGGGAGGTTGTTTAACTGTTCGGTGGAGGTGGGAGGCGAAAGCGGAGGGTGACGGGGGTGTTGTCTCTGAGACTGCCCGTCTTTGCCGCAGCCCCTCGTTCTAACGATCTTCAGATATGACAAGGATTTAAAAAAAAAAGATGTGGCATGAATTATTTATCCAATTCAATTCAATTCAATTCAAAAATACTTTATTAATCCCAAAAGGAAATTAAATATTGTTGTAACTCATTGTCCTTGTTTCATTCAGAGATGTTATAGATACTAATGGCTGTAGACAGTGTTGGATTTCATGTTTTATCTTTTAGTATTATTTTAATCAAGCTTGAAATTTCATGTATTAAAATGTGTTTATGTGTCATTCTTTCACTACCTTACAATCATTTAAATGTTAATCAGAATGTTAATCAATTATTTTGCTTATAATCTCACATTAGCTAGGAAAATCACACAAGTTCACAATGGAAGGATCTCTTGTAAAGGTCCATCCCACAGTTGATCCAAAGTAACTGGCTGCAGATGTCGTCCGATATGTCCACCCAGACTCGGCTGGCCTCTTGATTCCCAGGGCTGCAGGACCACCCAAATGTTGGGCAGAACTCCTCCCAGAGCGATGGCCACTCCTTCCAGCAGCTTGCCGAGCACCTCGTCGACACGGACAGCCGGCTGCAGATGCCAGGGGACGATCCCAGTCCTTCTGCTGTCATGAGCCGCGTTTCTTGCCAGTTCCAGGATTTCTTTAGGAGATCTTAGGATCTCAGTGGTCAGGCACTCAAGCACTGCAAGCAGGTAGATGGGAACGCATCCACGGAGCCTCCTTATCAACTCATTTGAGATTTGGGGCTTGTTGTTATGGTTACACATCATAACAAATGTCCAAAAGTAAAAAGGTTTCAGTAAAAATCCTTCCAGCTGCACAGCATCCAACACCAGAGGAAGTATTCATCCAAATGAAGTGATTTACATCCAGAAAAACAGGAATTAAAGTTTCCAAAAGCAATAGCTCAGAATGAAAGTAACAGAGCTACTCCAACATGCAGCCACCTTGAGCGGCGCAATATCATATCTGGTTTTACTTGGTATATCAACACAATTAAAAACTTGTGTGTAGTTTAAAGTCTGTACTTCTGACAAATTTGTCTTTGTCTTTTGTCTTTGCCGCCAAAGAGACTGAAATTGGTCATGTGACTATCATGCGTCAGCGCGTCGATTGACTCCATAGAAAAGAAGTCAGTCAGAGTAGGCAACGCCAGACATTTGAGTAGGCAGCGAAATTGCTGCCTGTTTTTGAGAAGATAGCAATATGTAAAATGTATGCACATGTCTGTAAATTTGTGTAGCAGCCAGCAACCACTGATACTGCCAAGTCTTGGAAATGTGTTGAGCAGCAAATCTGACAGCTTGTACAAACATTTTACATATAGTTACTGCATCAATGTCATAAATGTGTGGACACACATTTCTGATATGGTGTCCCATCGGTGCATGAATGTGAAAGCACTGATTATTCTTTGTATGAATATAGTAGAGTGCTGTATGAATGGGTAAATGAGGGCACAGATTGTAGTGTGAAGCGCTTTGAGTATCTTGATAAGATAGAAAGACGCTATATAAGTTCATTCTCTTTACCAATGGCCATAAATGTTAGAATCAAAAATGTTTATCACACATTTGTTCCTATATCTATGGAAAAATTTATCAAATGAAATCAGTTTCCTATTTTTACTATAAACCCTAACAAATCCAGTCAACCTAACCTTTGAAAGAATTACCTCTGAATGTGTGAAGCTCTACGTTTACTGTGAGAGAACAGTTCCCAAGTCCAGTATAAGCTGGAGTTCATCTCTTTTGGGTGAGAGGAAAGTTCACCAGGAAAATTTTTTGTGGTCGTGCATATGGTGCAAAACATATTTTGCCTTTTGCCTCTCTGAAAATGTCCAGGAAAGCTCTAAAAATGTAATTATGTGATAGGAAAATTTACTTTTTACATTATGAAATGAGAAATACAAAACGATCAACACCTAGTAGTAGCTACACAGACTAAGGTAAAACCATTTCTTGATGCACTGACTGTTCAGAGACACTGCGTTGAGGACACCAGTCGTTGTCCAGACTGTGGCGCTGTCTCACTTTGGGTTGCTTGTCCCTCAACAGACTGTCTTGCATTGTCCTGTCTGGCCTGACAGTCCCTGGAGAACTTGTGTTTAACATGGACACCACTGTGCTAACTGGACCTAACAAAGAAGCCAATAAAGTTACATGCTTGAGAAGAAACTGCATAAAAACAGTTTCTTTATCCTACATTTTGTAATTACCATATAGAAATAAGATAAACCAATAACATTTAACTGTTTAATATTACCTGACTGTTTGTTTGTTGGTCTGTCATCTTGGTGCTCGTATCAATGTGTTGTGTCCTGATACTCAGTAAACTGGGTAGATAAATCTAAGGTTGAGTCAGGTACCCTGGATGGATTTTTATTTGTTGAAACATTTCGTCTTTTATCCAAAAGACGTCTTCATTCAGAGGAGCTGCACCAAACTGGTTTACTTGCAGCTCAACCTTGTCAGATGTGTGTATTAACCGTGACCCCATGACCTCAGAGCACGTATTTGCAGAAAAAAATTTTTGTATCACAAACTGTCATAGTTCTTTGTATTCATAAAGAATACACCACAGCTGTAA